GCTAGATGTATTCACCCAATTTCGTTTAAGATGATGAAGAATTGGTAGAAGAATTTTCCCACAATGATATAAGAGATGACGTTTCCATTGAATTTCACATAGCCTTGCTTTCCTAAAAGTTGTTCTCTTCAAGGATAGACTGCAGTTTCGACCTCGCTGAGGTCTTATCAACACCTTCGGCGTGCGTCGAACCATGAGAGTGCAGTGTGTAATATTGACACGGTAACCACTACGCCACATTGCCACAAATGCCCTTGGGTCATATCAATGTGGGAAAATTGCACTACCAGTCCTTCATCATCTTAAATGAAATAGAGTGTATAAATTTCATACAACTGATTTACTGGTAGTCTCAAAAGTCTACTTACATAAGAAAAATATACAATCGTTATTTCCAGCTATCCATTTCAGATCATCATTCCATTAACATTATAGATGATCTCTATGATTTCGCTTTTTACGCTACCAGAAGCCAGTTGAATCCGAGCATATTGCCATCAATCCACATACATTCTCGAAAAGTCTTACGTCTAGTCAATATATCAGTCCAATAAAAACCTCTTTAGGTGAAGCGCCCATTCAATAATTTTCCCAAACATGTTTCAAATAAGAAAGTAAGACAGTCTCCTTGATCATTCACAAGAGATGTAAAGCAATAATTAGCAATGAAGACCAAGGTGTTGTGGCCTAAATTTTGGTGGTAGTCTCAGTCTTCAAAAAAAGACACGAGGCAGCGAAGCATCTTGGTAGCGCATCGCAAGTATGTCAGTGTGAGATTTTTTACCTAGTCACAAGATGAGTGCCGAGGCTTTCTTGTACTTCATTTCTTTATAAGAGATCTCCATCACTAACTATTTAATATTTTTCCTCATGCTTGTTTCGTATATTACTATTAAGTATTTTTAAATTCAGACATAAAAGTTATTTTGGTGAAAATTTTATATTAGTCTATCGCTTATAATGCTTGTGGAGGAATAAGAGCGTCCAGGTGCTCTTACTATAAACAGAACTCCCTAGATGAACAAGGTTAAATGTATAAAAATCTCAGAAGCTTTAATGAATCCTTAAGATTAGTTGCAAAGTCGGATAAAAAGACAAAATTTGTCTGATGGATCAGATGCAGTAAAGCACAGGGTATTTTGTTTCATACATATAAATAATAAATAAGCACTATTAGCTTAAAAAGCGATTCATAAAAATAGCAATTGCAATGATAATAATGGCAGGGACTTGCGCCTAAGATTATATGAATCCTGTACACCAGGAATTGTC